GTCAAGGGAAAATGGAAGCTTCTAATTTTGTCTAGCACTGCTGAAGCTCCTTCCATTAAAATGATTCCTGGGGAGGCAGAAAAGCCTTAGAAGAGGTATTGTTTTTGATTAGAGAAGTCTTAACCCAGCTAGGCTACAAAGCTGGTTCCACAACAGTCTGCAGCAAAGATCAGCCGGGATCATCTTTTCAGGGGCAGGGCCCACGTTTAATCTCCAACCAGAATCAAGTAGGGGAGTCCAAGTTCGCCCAAAGGGGGGATCAGGAACCCATCTGGAGTGTGTCGGAGAGCCCTTCACTTCCCCGCTGGGGGTCGCCTCGTCGCCCCCAGCCCCCATGCTTCTCTCAGCACACGGAAGGCTATCGTTTCTCTGTGCGTTCTCGCCCACCTGTTTGTCATCAGCGAGCCGAGGACCTGTTGTCTCTCTTCCTCTAACACTGTGACTGGAGTGCCGGGAGCCCAGGCTTTCCATCCAGTCTCTACGCAGAAAGTCTTTGCTTTATGGGATGTGTACATTCCAGCAAAGCTGGCTACCAAACGAACCTCCAAAAAGCAAATTCTGTCTGTCTACTGACTTCCAGGATAAAATCAAAGGTAAGTTCCCATTAAGAACAAAATTACTAATAGTTCGAATGGAGAATTTAGACTTTCTTGAAGAAGGAGTGTTCACGGGCGATTTTCTCTCCACTTCCTCACCCCCGTCCCGGCCTTGGGACACTTTGATTTTGTCCTCTGAGGGCATGAAGTGTGTCTGACCACCTTCTCTTCCTCCTTTTGGTCACTGGAAGTCTCTACCGAAGTCCCTTGCAGATAATGTGCTCCTGGCAGGTGTATGATCTGTCGTGTGCAGACAGGCGTAGCTCACCGATCCAGACCCCTGTGCATACGCCCCTGCTCCTGGCTTCAGGCCAGCCCCAGACACAGGAGCAACTGTGAAAAATAACCCAGACCTTTGAGAGAACCCTGGTTCTGAAGGGCAAGGAGGCTGACAGATTGGGATCTGCTCATAGAATCTGACTCCGGAGCTTGCTCCCTGCAGGGTCTGGCTACCTGTCCTGACTAGTGCTCGCCAAAAAACCCCCGTAGTCCCACCTGCACAGGGCCGAGATTCCACCAATCAGACCCTCACTTAGGCTAGCAAGCTTTCCCTTTTGAAATGCACATAGCAGAGTGACCTCTGTCTCCCCATCTGAGTAATGGTGAGGTTGGATTAGTTCAGCATTTCTTAACGTGTGGTCCCAGGCCCGCCTATATCAGAATCGCCCAGTGGCTTGTTAAGGCAGATTTCTGGGCTCTATCCTGGAACTACTGCAATTAGACTCTCTCTGGGGGTGGGGGTGGGGATGGTAAGTCCCAAATTTAGACATCTCCCCAGATAATCCCCAGGATACTCTGGGGGTTAGGGAAGGACTTTGGGGATTGGGGGGGGGGTCTGTGGTTGGTAGAGAAACCTTCTCTTTTGTCCCAGAATATCCCTATCCTTCCCTTTTGGAACAGTACTATAACTCAAGGGATTCGGGTAGGACTGGCTTTCATGACCTAGTGTGGGGCCACACCCCGAGGGGGAGCAGGGCTCTTCTGAGCAGCTGTGCCTTGGTTCCTAACAGCTGACTTTCAAAGTGGACTTCTGAACAGCCTTAAGGAGTGAACGCCATCCATGAACATGTAGGGGTGGGGTTGGGGGGGTCAAAGATAGGGTAGGATTCCTGCAGTGTGCTCCGGTCCAAATTCCTTTTCTGTAGGATTGAATCTTCCAACTTCACAGGAACAGACGAGAGGGCCCGTCTTACCCTGCGAGCCCAGAGTCCGCAGGAGGGAAGGCCTCTTGTGGGTGGGCCCGAGGGAAGCTTCCTAGCAGGGTGGCGTGCCTGGGCATGGGCCACTCGAAGCAAGCATTCCCCCGAGAGCGGTCATTCCACTTCAGTCCCGGAACAGTTCTGAGGCCCCTCGAGTTCCGGTCTCATTTATCCTGACATGGCTTTTTGCTTATCAAAGATCTCTTTGGGCGATGCACTCCAGAGAGCAGTCAAAAGGTCAAAGGTGACATTCACAAAAATCCATTCTTTCCTCTCCAGTCCACTGCTCTACTGACCATTTTCCTGCTCAGTCAAATTCTGTTCACGGCTGCACCTCCCATTTTAGGAACCAGCAAGGTGATAAATATCCTGTCCTCTCTTTACTGCACTTGGCGTTGCCACACCTTTTCTTCCCTCCCCCTTCTGGGAGGGCGCTTCGGTTGGGTGGCTTGGGTCTGCAGAGTCTCATGGGACAAGCCAGGTGCTGGGCCCGTTTCTCCAGATTTCACCTTTTGCAGGCCTTGTCCTGAGCTTAGAGGCTCCCTCTGCAGATGAGCTGTGCTGCACCTCGCTGAGAGCTGTGGCCAGGTCAGTCCTGCTGTACAGGACGGTCAGTCCTGCCAGTACCGGTTCCCTGTAAGGAGAAGGAAGGGGGCTTGCACAGAAACCCCAGGGCGGCAGAAACGGGCAGAAGTCCATGTGGTCAGATTTGCAGCCTGTCGCTTGAATCGGGCTTCGTTTCTCCTGTTCCTTTTCTCATTCTCATTCATGAAGCATAACTGTGTGCAAGGCCCGGGGCTAGACCGGAAACACAGGGGGGACGTGAGGGTCTGACCACAGAGGGTTAAGAGCCTTTGTTTATTGACGGACATCTTGACTGTTGTTTAACAACAGTGCATCCCGTGCTGAGAGGATACTTTCTGCTTTGCTTCAAGTAGATTTAGGGCAAATTTGCTTTTGGGTGATTAAAGTTTACTTCATTCTTCCTCCAACAGTTAGTCACTGAGTTTTGACGTGATATGAAATAGTCCAGCTGGTTCGATAATGCACTTGGTCTGGCCTGGTGGACAGTTCGCAAACTAGGCCACTGCCCGGAAAGGGTCCTTTAGAGCCAAATCAGTACCTAGGCATCTTTTCTTGCAACGTATCTTTCCCCCTCTTCCTTCCTCACCATCTCCATTATCATCACTGCCATCCATGGAAACATTATATACGCTAAGCCCTGTATCTGATCCTGTTTCTTCTTACTCTGTCTTTACAACAGTCCTGGGAAGTTTGCCATCTTAGTTTTCTCACTTTAGAGCTGGGAAATTGAGGCCCAGGGGATTTCAGCACTTACCCATGGCCACCCAACCAGTAAGAGAAGAGCTCAACAGAAACCCGTCTGTCTGAGCTGTGGGCTGCTGGGGCCTGAGGGGCAGAGCCAGGCACCCCTCAGGGGCATTTCTCAGCACTGCGCAGGGCACCTGCTCTCTGTGAATACAAACTGCCTCAGAGAAGGGCTTCTGTGGCTCAGTAGCACGAGGGTCCCACCCTTCTGGGTAGTTGCACGTGGGCAGGGCTGTCTGTGATTCTGAGCTGAGGGGCACAGGGTTCACTGCCCTTGGTCTGGGTTCTAGAGACAAGGAGCTTCCCTTGAAGGAAGGTTTCTCGGGAGAAAGAGCAGAGTGAAGTCCTGCTGCCAGGCAGGGATTGCTCTGGGACTTGTGTGGCTGCAGCTCCGCTGTTTTCACTGGCTGCAAAACGAATCCCAGGCCACTCAGGGTGTCTGGGGACAGGTGTCATGAAGTGCTTAGCCCTGCTGGTCCCAGTGCTTTGCTGGTGGCTAGAGAGACCTCCCTGCCCTTCCCTCCAGATTCAGGGCAACAGCTTGTTGAAGGCAAGAAGCTCTGGTCCTGGGTGGACCTGGGGAAGGACCTAGGTTAGAATCCCTTCTGGGCTTCAAGCACTTTGTATGACTTCTTCATTTATTCACAAAGGTTGTTATGATCAAGGTGGAAAGTTATTTCCATTTTATAGGTGAGAACACAGAGGCTCAGATAAATCAAGTGACCTGGCATAAGGTCATCAGCCAGTAAGTATCTGTGCCAGGATGTAAGCTCAGGTGTGCCTGCCTCCTCCACTAGGCCCCTGCCCAGAGCTACTGATGGCCCTCCAGGAGACCACCTGGCATCCTCTCCAGAGGGGAGGAGCTCTGGGTCTTTGCAGACACAGGCTCAGCAAGCTCCCATACCACCTCCATGGTATTGTCTTGCTCTGCCTGTATCAGCTGCTTCTGAACCCTGAGGTCAGTCAGCTGACAGGGCTTTGGCTCTCTTGTCTGGGCCTTCCCTGCTGCTGCCAAGACCCATGATGCTGTGGGACTTGCTGGGTGTCCATGCACAGGTGCTGGCTTGCCCAGCCAGGCACAGGGAGCTGCTTCCCACACCCACCTGCAGACCGGCTCTCGTGCTGTGCAGCCAGGGCTTCCCCATTGGCGCACTGCAAGTGCAGGTGAGTTCGTGTCCTACAATGAATTTGACTAATGAGAGACAGCAGATGGGAAGGATCTGGCTGGTCCATTCTCTGTTTCTCATGCTGCTGGGGTCTTCTGAGACATAGTGTTTCCCTGTGACTTCCCCATTCAGAAGTTGCACATTCTGGTAGGTGGTGGCCTGGTCAGCAACCTGTATTTGCTTTCCCTCCTTCCACACGTCACCTTCTTTTTTCTATCCATCTTATTTTATTTGGATTGTAACCTCCTTGCTCCAATAAAGTGTTGGCATGCCATATTTGCCCAGGGCTCCACTTTCTAGGTAACACAGGCTAAGACAATAATAATAGATATAATAATAATTCCTCCTATTTATTGAGTTTACTGTGCGGCAGCTATATCATCTCACTGAATCTTCATCTCACTGAATCTATGAAGCAGGTACTACTATTGTCCTCATTTTAAAGATGAGGAAGCTAAGGATCAGAGATGTTAAGGAACATGCTCATGGCCACACAGCATGCAATTTGTGTGGGAAAGTGAGGATTTAATGAGCTCTTCTGTTCTTTCAGCTCCAGAACCTCAACTCTAAGCCACCCTTGAATAAAGTTGCCTTTAACCTTCAGAAATACCAAGGAAACCTGAGTCTCGTCAAGGAGACACTTCCAAGAGACTCCCAAGGATTCCTGGGAAGCCCAAAGAAACCCTCAGGGGGAGCCCTGGGATACTCACGTTGTAAACGCTGGGTTGTACTTTGCACCTCGATAGTAGGAATACAGATTGAACATCCCAATCATGAAGGCCACAAATACCATGATGAAAATGACCATGAACTTGAAGATATCTTTCACAGTCCTCCCCAGGGAGATCTGCAGGGGCCCAAAGCTCTCATTGGCTGGCAGGATGTACGCGATCCGAGAGAAGCTCAGCACAACAGCTATTGCATACAGCCCTTCCGATATGATCTGGGGGTCTGAAGGCCACCACTTGTCCCTGGCTAAAAGAAAACAATCTGGGTTACTGGGGGACAGGATCTGCTCTGGAAGAGAAACCAGTTAGACATATTTAGAGGTCTGTAAACTTATCGCTTGTCATACCTGCCCTTGTCTTTAAATTATATCCCTTCTCACATTAATCCCAATACTCTGAAGGTGCTGGCCCATCTGCCTGAGATGCCTGTCCATCACTTCAGGGTCTGCTTCGCGCTCAGTCATCCTTCAAGGCTCTGCTCAGATGCCATCTTATTCAGGAAGCCTTCTGTGACCCCCGTGGCTGGGACAGGTTCCCTACTCCTTTCTGCTCCCACGGTATCCTTTGCACCCCTCTGTCAGTGCTCCCTGCTGTTCTGTCCTCCTTACCGGTGTTTGAGCTCCACAAGCAGGGACTGTCCCATTTCCTGGCAAGTACCACAAGGAGGTAGTGGCGAGGAGCATGGACTTGGAATCTAGGCAGACCCGAGGTTGAAAGTAGCCTTTCTACTCACTGGCTGTGTGACTCTGAGCAAATCAGTTAATCTTTTTGAGCCTCATTGTCCCCATCTGTAAATTGGGGATATCAACCTCACACACTAACTGTAAAAAGGATGAAATGAAATCATATATGTAAAGTGCTTAGTATAGGGTTTGACACACAGCAGGTACTGATAAATGTTAAGTGATTGAATAAAATCCTAACTGAAAATATAGAGTAGCTACTAATCAGAATAAATGTGCCCACAAGTGGGCTAGGAGTCCGGAGGATATTGCCTGAGAAAATGCTCTTAGTTTTATTCCACAGGCAGCGTGTATCTGGGAGAACTGCTCCTTGCTTGAGCGAAGGCCTCCGTCCTGGGTGGCAAGAGTCCTGAGACCCGTCCTGAGCTGGAGAGGTTCTGCTTGTGGTGAGGATCTGAGCTACCTGGGTGTATTCCTACCACAGAACAAGCCTGTAAAGGGTTCCTGTTGCAGTTCTAATGGTACAAGGGGCAGCGTCTACCGCTAAAAAGCCGGATGTACAGTGACTCTCTTGTGCAGGCAGCACCTTTCTCCTGGGGAAGTGTTTGTAGGCGTCTGCTGTTTGTTGTCAGAATGACGGGGTAGGAATATTACTGGGGTGCTAACATCCTGCAATGCTCCAGACAGACCGATCCATGAAAATTGCTCTGCTGAATATGCCTGTGGGGTCCCTGTTGAGAAATGCTAAGTGAAACTTCAATCGACAAACATCAAGAAACCTAAATTAGCCCTTCGACTTACAGTAGCTGTAATTTTCACAACAACCCTGTAGAGCAGATACGACTGTTGCCATTTTTAAGATTAGATTTGGGGTATGGGGTCCTTTTCAGAGCCAGGTAAATGCAGATAGCAAGGATATTATGTAGCAATTCTTGGCACCCCAAGGGAGCTGGAAGAGGAGAAATTTTGTTCTTTGTTTTCAAGGCTAGACTCTGTTAAACAATTATAATAAGGAGCAGAGAGACCTTTACTAAGGGAATCAAGACCTCTATTTGCCATAGTTTCACATAGTGCATTCTCACTTACATTTATAAATATAATAAAATTATAGACTCTATGTTCTCATCAAGGTCATAACACAGAAGTCCAGGAAAGACAAGTAGGAAGAACAAATTATGTTTTTCCACTCTATCTGTCGTTCACTTTGAATAAATAACACATTTGGATAACATGAAATAAGACTTGGCTTCTTCAAACAGACACCAATAAGGAATTTCTTTTTTCTGCCCCCCTATAATTTACCATCTTAAACCTAAGCTGTAATGATAAAAGCCACTCCTAAAATCTGTTAAAATAGATTTAGCTGTTGTCAGGAATTTTAGTGAAAAATAACCTATTTGGACTGGCTTTTAAAAGTTGTGATGGGTGTAAAAGCAAACAGCATTGTGATATTCAGACAAAGGGATTTTCTTGTTGGAGCTCTATCCGTGAGAAAAACTGCCCTTATTGGGACCTGAAAAATTGGTATCTGCCTACTTGGTGCTGTGGAGGTTGGAAGGGACCACTACCTGGCTGGCCACAAGAGGGCTCTCTTTCCCCACAACTGGAACACCAGTGAACCTTCGGCGATCCAGAGATCTCCAAGGGCATAGGGTGAACCACAAAACAAGGGCAATAATGTGCAATACTCTGGGTGGGGTGAGACCCTAATACAGTCCATAAAAGGAATAGAATTCACAAGTGGACAATACTTCAGCCTGAACATGACATTAAGAAAAGTACCTAAGGCTGTATCAAGGTTCTCTCATCTTTCATTAATGAATACTGAGCAGCAGAGGGGAAAGTATACAAACCATTTTGTTTTTAAAAAGTCTGAATTTGTCAAACCGACAAATGAATAGTGGATAATTTGTAATACTACAAGACTCATTTCTCAGTGGGTGTTTCCCTATTATATTTACATGCAACGTAATCTGCATAACACAACCTACATTGAATTTGTGCAGTAAGTAAAGTTTTGCGTTACGTGGCCAACCTGCAGGGTTGCTATACCTGACCATGAAGAGTCTGAGGTCACAGGAGCTGTGTGGCTTCAATCTTGCACTGTATGGCCTTTTCTGAAAGAATTAAGGCATCTCCTAAGAACGTATTTTGCCACGAGAAAAGAACTTTCAATCTGGGAAAGCAGGATTTATCTTTGCACAGGGATCAAATATAGAAAGAAAATCCTTCCATATGTACATTTCCCCTTTGTGCTCTGTATCCACATCAGAAACGAGATCTTTCTTTAAAAAGTAATAGAAAAAAAACCCCACAAAGATTCCAAGAGTCTTTCTAAAATCACCCTTAACACAGAAAGATTGAGTTCTTATATTAATTCAGCTGGTCATACTGCGGGGAGTGGACCTTTTTCAGGAGAGGGCGTCTGCACTGGGAGTCCAGATGACCACGTCGTCCACAGTACAAATCCCCAGCGCTGGGGCCAAGGGCCCCAGCCACGCCCCAAGAGCGCACCGGTCCCCAGTCCCCTCTGGCTCACCGTAGGTGAAGTACGCCACTTCCGGCGGAAGCGAGACGTTGCGCAGCGTGTCATCCTGCACGTGTTGGTCCACGTACAGCTGGGCCTCGCTGGCTTTTAAGAAGGCCATGAACCTGGCGGTGAAGGAAGCCACGAAGATGGACAGCATCCCGAAATCCAGCAGGTTCCACAGGTGTAGCACGTACTCCCGAGGCCCCTCCTCCCAGATTTCCTTGCATTCGGACCAAATCATTCCTGCGGAAGAGATGGTCAGGTTCGTTTTTCAGTTTGTGGCCACGGGGGATGATTTGGAAGGAACCGGGATACAAATGTAAATGTAGGCCCTTTGGAGCTTGAGGGCGTTGATATTCAGCAGCAAACAAAACGTGTCTCCAAAGGCTCTAGAGGTAGGACACCTTGGGATGATGAGATGTGTCACCTGGCCGTTTGCTTAAGGATAAACCATCTCCCGAAGTGAGCGTTCTCAGCCATTGATAGATTCTTGGAGGCAATACAGAAGTGTAGGGCTGACATTTATACCTTTTAAGAAGTGGGAACTCTTAAGGAATCATACAGTTCTAAACGAAATATTAGGAAACAGGCCTAGGAATGAGAAAGAGCTTCCTGAAGGTCCTACATGTGACCTAGAACCTGGTTCTCCTAACTCCCATATTAGAATACTTGACTGTGTTTCTATGATTGTTTCAGTGAGCATTGATTTTTGGGTTATTCGTTTTTTTCCTTGCTCTTTTGCAACTTAATAGATTTTATAAATGTATGTCCTCCTTACATAGTAAATAATGCACAAGTGTGTAAATAAAATGTAACTAGTTCCCCCACGCTACTGGAAAGCCCGCCTGTGAGGTGGCTAGACTGACAGTTTGGTGTGTGTCCTTCGATGCCTGCACTCTAATCACATGCGGATATTGAGCACTTGAAATGTGGCCAGTTGAATGGAGAGGTGCTGTGTAAGTGTCAAGTACACATCAGATTTTAAAGACTTAGTACAGAAAGAGTAAAAATCTCAGGAATTTTTTATATCAGTCACTTTTTGGAATGATAGTGTTTTGGTATATTGGGTTAATATTAACTTCACATTTTTTTTTTTCACAATGTGGCTACTAGAAAATTTTAAATTAAATGTGTGACTTGCACTATGTTCTCTTGAATAGTGCTATTCTCTACCTTCATCTTCACTGATTTTTAAAACTAAATTAGATTATTAAAACGTAACTACTATTTGAGAACAGTTTGAGCACCAACAGTGCGCTGGGCACTGTTCTGTATATATTAATTCCCTTAAATCTTTGCAACAATCCCATGAAAAACATTGTTATTTCCCCAATTTTATAGTTAATGTCTCATTAGGCACAGAGAATGTACTATGCCCCCGCTAGGAAGCAGAAGATCTGGAATTTGAATCCATAAGGTCTGACCCTGGAGCGTCCCTGCTCTTGACCACTATGTTTTTCTGCCCCTCCACGAAATAAAATTGGGTTCAAAGCAGGAAATATGTGAAAGACTTCTGAACATTTTGAAAATGCTATCAGAGTCTTATAGCTATTCAGACCTGGGAAAGATTTGACGCAGAACCAGCCTATTCTGTGTTATACCATGCTACACTTAACCTGTACACTTAAGAGGGATTACCACATCAGTGGTAACAGAATCGCCAGCTGCTTGGTTAGTGAAACAATTCCAGCTCACTGACCACACCCTACCAAAGGCTTAACACTGCTGGCCTCTCTTGGCACTCCCCTGGCTCCTGCACCTTGGATATGATGACCAGCCTTCCCAGGTGCCTCCTGCACTTCCCACTGCTTCTCCTCAGCTTCCCTTGTTGCTCCTTATCTTCCCCCCATCCCTTAAAGGCTGCTGCTTTTGAAGGTTTCAGCCATTCTTTTCCTTCCCTCTGTCCTTGCATAAGTGCATCCACTCCTAAGCTTTGTCCTTCATTTTCTTGTAAATGCCCCACAGGTAAATATGTTACTGTTTTTCTGGAGTTTCAAAGCTGAATTTCCACACTGCAGGAAAAGGCTATAAATGACGTCCTGGTGGCACCAGAGATAGCATATATCCCAAACTGGCCCCCCAGCCTCCCATCCCCATCTCACCGTTGCCCAGGGCTCTCTTGCAGCCCTGACTCCTTGGACTGTCACTGGACCACCACAGTTCTGCAGATCCTCCTCCGGTGACATCAGATCCATCCTGCCTCTCAGTTAGAAGTTCCATTTTGTTACCTCCCAGGCTACAGGTCAGATCATGGTCACTTTCCCCTGCTATGCATTCTTCATGACCCCCAAGATAAAAGTCCTGACCCCAAAGCTAGGCTGTCAGACCTTCTACTCTTTATACATCCTGTATTCTCCCACAGCAGGCCTACCCAGAAGTCCCCTAACAGTTCCACCTCAATCCTTTGCTTCTGTTCTCTCCCCTGCCTCCTCCAGACCTCAATCTCAAGCACAAAGGCAGATGGCCACATCGTAGCATAGTGACCTTAGAGGAACCAGCAGCCTGGAAAGCTGGAGTCAAGGATGATACCAGGGACGGACAAATGGTCATGGGGCTGAAGCATAGCCCACTTGGTCACAGGCCCACATCTGGCCACATTTCAGTGCTGAGCTGATCATCTTTTCTCTCGTCAGGGACTCTTTTATTCAGAATCTTACCTTTTTCTGGTGAAAAGGGTCCATTAAACAAAAGGAATTGAAACAGTGTTTTTCTAAGGAGGAAAATAACTTGAAAGCAGCTGGGCAGAGCAGTCGTGGCTTTGTTTGATGAAACAGATTGTAAGATCTGTGTGTCTGTGTCAAATTGGAGTCCCCACAATAGGAAACATTGCAGGTCTGTTCACAGTGTACCTGGCACCATCTGTCCTCACCTTGCCTTTCTGTCTGTAACAAAGCCACACTTCTTAAGCTACCCCTTTCAAAATGTGTGCTAGTTCAGTGAAGCAATGATTTTCTTAACACTGAAATGTACTTTTCATCTGTGCCCATTGAAATAGATGTTTTAAAAATGTTATTAGAAAAACCATTACAGGCTGGAAAAAATAATGTTTGTTGCTTTCTTCCCCCACCATTAAAATTCCTCATATCTTAATGGAATTGCTTTTAGTTGGGCACTAGGAGAATCACAGGCAGTCACTCAGGGTGAGCACCTTAGTTTAGGAAGCCCTGAGTTCAAGTTCTAGCTTGGTGCCTTACTGGATGTGTCATTTTAGATAAATCCCTTGATTTCCTTGGGGTTTTGGGGTAATTTCAAACACTAAAAGCTCTACAAATCTGAAATGCAAATTATTTATAGAAAACTGACTTTCCTCATTAGTAGAGTAGCTCCTCATTGGGCATTGCGGATCACTTCCTCTGCGGTCAGATGCCCACATCAGTCTTTCTAAATTTAAATAGTAACTCACACAGACTAATGAAAATTATTCCAAGGCCATGAGTAAAAGTAGAATGGGCCCAAAGGTTTGAGCAGCAGGAATGCTTAATGAAAAAAGAGATGTGTGAAATTAATTTAGTGAGTGAAATTAGGCCCTCTGCTTCCAAGGTGCTGAGGCTAGTTCAGCATTTTATATCCAAGCTGAGCCTCCTGGTCTCTTGTTCCCAGCAAATCAATCAGAGTATTTAGAGCCTGCGGGCTCTGGGGAGAAGGATGAGCGCCTTGGACCCTTGAGGCAGAATCCCTTTTACTCAGGGATGCCTGGAGCTCAGAGAACAGGGTCACTCATCCTCAGTCGGAGTGGCTGGCAGAGGAACAGGCGGGGAAATGGTGGGAAGCCTTGGGGAAGGTGGGTAGTTTCATTTGGGCAGGTTCTGAGGCCCGCAGGCTGCTGAGATGGAGCCTGACAGTTCAAAAGGTGGTTCCCTCCCATCCCTGCGTCACATTCTATTCAGAAGGTCTAACCCTTCAAAATCCCCTGAGACTTAAATATGCACATTTCTTAAATGGCCATGGCTTCCGCTACAGAGCCCCAGAGCCCCTAGCAGAAGAGACCTCTTCCCAAACCACCTCCTGGGGGGCCTGGCTGTTCTTTCAGGTCAACTTTTCAGCCGTTAGGCCAGGTGTTCTGTGAACTCACACATGGGAGAATATGTCCTCAAGCCGTAACACCCGAATACTATCCCAATGGCAGGTCCTTTACAACAGATCGGGGCCTTAGATACATTCAGGGTTCATCCGTTCTCCAGGCAGGAAGATAATATTAATAGATTAAAAAATTTCTTAACAAAGTTCTACCTTCTCTTCTCTGATTTTAGTAGCTAACAATTATTGCACACCTGCTAGGCGCCAGACCCTGCAGTAAGCACTTTGTCAACACTAAATCTTCTTACTAGCTTGAGAGGTGTTTGCTGTAATTATCCCTCTTTACAGATGAAAAAACTCATGTTTGAAGACGGCACGTGAGTTGTCCACAGCTATGCAGGCAGTCCAGAGCCCTTGCTGTCCACTGTGCTGTTGTCCACTGTGCATTCTGTGAGGCACAAGCTTGCTCTAACTGGTCAGGAACTCATTCACCCACTTAACAGACACTGTTGAGTCTCGACTGTGTGCCAGCCACCATTCTGGGGATACAATGACCAAGAAGATGCCATCCTTGCCAAAGCAAGCTCAGTCTTGTGCTGGAGACTGATGTGCCCTCAAGCATTAGGGCTACAGGGTGACAGATGCCATAGTAAAGAATGTCTGGGGGACTGTTCGTGGAGACACAGGGGTAAGAGCAGTCAGCATTATAATCGCGAGACCCAGTAGAGTGCCTGGAACAACTTGTCTCTGTTGACAAATGGAGTGAATTCATGGAGGAGGTGACACCTGGCATGAGGAATCAGGAAGTAACTAGGTGAAGGAGGAGGGGCTGACAGGGTGTTCCAGATGGTGGCCTTGGAAGTGAGAAAGAACAGGCTCTTCTAGGGAAGTTCAGGAGGCCCACTGTGGCTCAAGGGTCAGGGAGTGGGTTTGGAGCTTGGCAGCACGGAAGGTCAGTCAGTGAGGGCCCACTAGACCGTGAGAGCCCCCCCCCTTCAGGCCTTCAGTCTTCTGGATTGATGATCTAGAGTGTTCCCCCATTCTGCTGCTAATCAAGTAAAGCATTGAGAGTAAAGGAAAGATGTATTTCTAGCTGGGTTTGATCTTTCCGTAGAAGTATGCAGCATAAGGAACGACCTGCATGCCCAGGAGGAGTGGGGGTTGGGAAAATAAGAGTATTGTCACACTACGTGGCCATTGAAAGAGGTCATTGGGAAAATCAGCTGGCCACATGGAGAGAGGGCTGACAGAAGATGAAGAGAGTCAACTGCACATCTGTGTGATTACAGAAATAGTAATATTAATAGAGGCAGGCAGGAAACAAAGGAAAGCATGTAGTATTGTCAGAGGGGTTGACTGGTATGACACATGCAAAAGAGAATGGAGAATAGGAAGACAGGGTGGAGGAACTTGCAGTTTTAAATAGGTTGGTTTAAAAAGGCCTCATTTTGAGGAGACTTTTGAGCAGGGACTTGAAGCAGCTCTGGAGTGAACCAGGCTATCTGTGGGAAGAACTTGGAGGCAGAGGGGACAGCGCAAGCAAAGGTTCTGAGGCAGAAACTGAAACCAGGAAGCCAGCGGGGCTGAAACAGTGAGTGAGGTGGAAGGTGGTGGGATATGAGGCCATAGAGACGGAGAGGAGAGGTGAGGGCTTTGTAAGCTATTGTAACAACATTGGCTGTCACTGTGAGGGAGACGGGAAGCCAGTGAAGAGTTTTGAGGCTGAGTGACAAAATCTGATTGCATTTTAAGTGGGTCACTTTAGCTCCTGTGCTGAGAACATACCGAGGCATGGGGGTGGGAAGGGACACGTGGGCAAGTCATTCGCCTCTCTGTGGTCAGCCTCTCCATCCCCAAAAAGAACAGGTTGGACTCATTAGGGTCCTAGACTTCTCTTCAACCCCAGGGCTGCTTCTGGCAGAGAGGGAGTTATGGTTTGGGTGTTATTATAACCAGTCGGTTTTAAGAGTTCTGCATTTGTGAGTATGATGCATTATGGGCGTAAAGGAGTAAAGGACTGTGCTGCTGTGTTTCTGGCTGGTCCAAGGCCTTCCCAGCAGTGCCTGGGAGTAGAATTCAAAGACTTCATTGTTAGGGGCCTGCTGGCATTTCAGGCGTCTTGATGAGAGGAGAGTTGATGAGATTGTGGACTTCAGGGGGGCCAGCACAAAGAACACAGGGACCACAGCACTCAGAATATTTCTCTCAAGGGCTATTATTATTATTGTTGTTATTATTTTATAATAATTATAGAGCTCCAGAAGGCAGACATAAGATGTTACTCTTACATAGCTGCTCCCCCATTATCTGTTATAGTACCTTAAACATAATGTAATGCTTAGTAACTAGAAAATATTTATTGAGGAAAAAAAATTGAGAAAAATAGAAGAAATATCAGAAAACGTCCCCATTGCTCCCACCACTGCATCTCTCAAGCCACCTGCTCTCTGCCTCCACCTCCATCTTCCCTCCTGTTGCAGTAAATGAAGTGTCCATGTGCCTGCTGAGGTCAGGTCCTCCACTTGCATGCTGGACTCCATTCCCGCGTGCTGCTCAGGAAGTTGGCTTCCAGATTCAACGGTCACGTCTCAGGCCTCCCATTACTTGATCTGTCCGCAGCATCTGGCAGGAGTGATCACGCCCTCGTTCTTGACACAGTCCCTGTGGCTCCTGGGATGCCACTGTCTCAGCTTTCCTCTTCCCCAGTCTCCTTTGCTGGCGGCTTCTCAACTTCCCATCCTTTTAACGTTGGTGTGCCTTAGGGCTTGGTCCTCAGCTCATCTCTCCACATTTGCAGTCGGGGTGATAGCATATAATTTACTGTAAATATGCTGATATGCCTACATTTATGTCTCCTGCCCCACCCTCTCCTCTGAGCTTCAGGTACGTGTATCCAGTTGCTACTTGACATTCCCACTTAGATACCTGAAGGATATCTCAAACTGAGCTCTTGGTTTCCCTCTCTACTCCCTCTCCAAACTGCTGCTCCCCTGGGCTTTCCTGTCTTAGTGAATGGTTTTCTATTATACCATTACTCGAGCTAAAAACATATGGAATTTTCCTTGATTGCTCTCTTTTCTTTCACACCTCACAGAAAATCCAATAATAAATAATACTGACTTGACTTTTACAATGTAATCACCACCGACCACCTCCTCAAAACCACCCGTTTCCTGCGTGAACTGCTGTAGTGGCCTCCTAACTGACCTCCCTGCTTCTGCTCATGTCCCAGAATCAGCTGTTCTCTAGACAGCAACCAGTGATCCGTTAGAGACTTACGTCCTGTGATGTCACTTCTGTGCGCGGAACTCTCCAATGGTTTCCCACCACCCTCAGAATAAAGTCTAAACTCTGTTTCATGGCTTACAAGGCCTTGGTGTGATTTGACTCTGCTTATCCCTGTGACCTTATCTCTGCTCTCTCCCCCTTATTTATTATGCTCCAGCCACCCTGCGGTTTTTTTTTTTTTTTTTTTTTGCTGTGAAGCAGGTCCAGCCTCGTCCTGAATCTAAACCTTTAACATAAACTGATCCTTCGGTCTGGAATGCTTTTCACCCAGATGTCTGCAAAGCTTGCTTCCTCTGTTCCTTCAGGTGTCTGTTCAAACTTCACCTTAGCAGAAAAAGGAGATAAGGGGGCATGTTCTTACCTACTCACCTACCCTAATACGGTAAAACCTGAACAGAGACCTGAAGGAGGAGAGAAAGCAAGCTTTGCAGATATTTATTCATCCTCCTTCTCAAAGAAATTTGAATACTGACTATCTGAAGATACGAAGACATTATTATTAATTTTATAATTAATTTTCTTTTATATTTGTGGTTCTGTTTTAGAAAAGAATTCTGACTTCCTTTGTCAGCCGTGATGGAGAAACAAACAGAAAAAGAAAAAAGAAACTATCTTCAGACATTGGAAACTGCACAGGACTATGGTCCTTTAAGTAAAGGGAAACACGCAAGGTAAGCCACATGAGCACGTCTGTCACATTTTGCCATGTACAGTTTTAACCTTTTTTAGTTTTATTTTATCTTGTTTCTTCGTATTATTAAAAGTTCTTATGAGTTGGGCAAAAGAGAGATGGCCTTCCTTAGCTAGGCAATGAGGAAACTGGGACCAGTGTCCTTGGCAATTAGTGGCAGACCTGGGCAGCACCAGATACCACCACGAAGAGGAATTCATAGCTTTGTTATATTCATTGACACAAATAATGAGAAAATGTTATCCTATAACTTTTTAGATTTATATTTATCATCATGATTCTACTATATATCAGTCTTCAATGAAAAAATGAAAACAAAAAGTACCACTTAAGCCATGCAATTTTATACTCATTTTCAGAAGCAGAACTTGTTTTCCTAAAGGCTTCCAGTAGACTATATTTAAATGGTCAAAATAATGTTTTCCCATGTGAAGCCATTTTATAGTCACTTTCATTACATGTATAATGAAAAGTATGTAATGAATTTCCCCCAAACAGCTCCTTTCAAAATTAGCATTTGTATCACAGATCTGTGCACCTTGCACACCAGCACACACAGACATTGGCCTTGACTTCTGTTTTGTCCGCCCACTCCCCATTGTGTGCCCAGAGTGCGCTCAGGAGGAGAGGAAGGGGTTCGGAAGTCAGAGTTCAGTCATGTCTGTTATAATCAGGGGAGGGGAGGATAAAAGAGAGAGTGACTTGCTTACCTAAGACCCACTTCATGATGAGCATTTCTGTCCAGGAGAATTGTGTCGTTTTCACTCTGAAGACCTGTTTTGGGTAGTCCGTGAAGGTCTCGTTGGGCAGGGTTTTAACCCCTTCGAAGCGGTCTGACGCATTCACAACTAACAATCCCAAGAAGATTGTGAAAGAAACTGCATGAGCTACAAATTTCATGAAAGGGCTCCTCAGGGTTCTTCCTAGCTGGAAACAATACATACAAGACATGTTAAACTGGCAGCTCTGGGTGAGGGCCCGTCTCTCTCTTTAAAACACTTCTGCCACTAGCTTAACCAGTGTCTCCTCCATCTTGGACAGAAACCGCTAACCGAATCCAGACATTGTCCTTTGCACTTTTCTCTGAGATGCTGCTTGACCAAATCTATTTTCTATTGATTTCAGTTTTTCCCTATTTAGAAGATTAGCGGGAGTGATGGGAGAAATGAATAACATAGCATCATATTACCAGCCAACTACACAGCCATCCCCAGCTGCATGGATATGAGTCTTAGTCCTTCCAGATCTGGGGAAAAAACAAACTGTCTTAGAGAGTTCAGAATTTTCACACTACAGTATGGTTATGCTCTGTTGCTCTTTTGTCCATTTTCCTGAGTTTTATACTTAGATGATCTGTTTTCATTCTGTCTTATATCTTGGTAAATTTGTTTAAAGCTATACATTTCCTACTAGGTCCTGCTTTAGTTGTATTCCCTTAAATTTTGAGACATAGTGTTTTCACTGATACTCAGTTATAAATAGTTCGTAATTTCCCTTTGGTTTCACTTTTAATTCAGAGGTTATTTAGTTTCTAGACATACAGGACTTTTATTTTCTAATTTAAAAAATTGTAATTTTATTGTAGCACAGGAAAAGACCATAGCCTTTGTGATACTGTTTTAAAACACTGAAGTTTTCCTAATGACCCAGTGCATAATTCAGTTGTACAATTGTTCCATGTAAGCCTGAAATGACCCAAATGATGCCCTGTTAGGGAGCAGGTATTGTCACATCTTCTCTGTCCCTGGAATGCCATCCAAAGCCCACTTAGATATTTTAGGACTAAACTGGGGGCGGCACAGTCAGTCTTTGCTGACCCCTAGTAATAGACTCACGTGGGTCTCTTCCATGTCACTGCCATCACCCTCATCTAAGCATCAAATCTCACCCCTTACGCAGGTATGCTTGTAGGACAAGAGCCAAGAGGGAAACCTTTTCTGAGGCTCAGCTCATTCTCCAGGGCGACGTTCAGTTGCAGCCAGCGACTGGCCAACTGAGGCTCACATTCTGCCTCATTCAGTGAAATGTCCTAGAATGAAATGTCACCCAGCAGATCAAGTATTGGTTCAGTAGAAAATCAGTTACAGGGGTTTCTCTAGGTAAAACTTCCCTAATTACGACTCTGTTCAACACAGTACTTATAAATCAGGTAGCTCGATAATGTTCTTTTAGTAAATGCCTCAGTAGGGTTGCCATCCACTTTAATTATTCTAGTTATTAGTGTAACATGATTTGTTAATGATTCTAAAGCCTTAGAACCCATTGAAATTTTAAAAAGATAAATTTTTATCTTTTTAAAGAAACTGCATCTCAAGTGCAGACATTGGGAATCCTACTTGTGCTGGAAGAAACTTATTTGAATTCACCTGCATTGTCAAATGTCATAAGACGGTAGAGTAACTTCAGAAATGGAAAAAAATGTTTACCTGTAAACCATGGGGCCCGCAAACGTTTTACAAGCGGCATTTCTCTTAATGTTTAACCTCATTGTTTACAAAATAGGGACTGTAGGTCATTGTTGGCCATAGGTACATGTGCTATATTCAAAATGCAGAAATTAAGTATAAGGACAAATAAAATAGCTAACATAAATTTGGTGAAAAACTGAATTAAACCATGTGTCATTTTGATTTATATATCAACTAGTTTGTTTGGATTTTTCAACGTTTTAGCTGTGTTGGACTCTTGGAGCCCCATTTCCCAACCAGGATCCTGGGATACTTTGGTGTGCCCAGGAGATGTCCCTAAACAGTCTTCGCGCTGTTCCTGTGACTGTGTCCCCGCTGGGGCAGTGGTGAGGTGAGGGAATGTGGAGCCTGGCTGCGGGGTGGGGAGTGGGTCAGGGGGAGAGGGTAGGCTGAGCAGAGTTGCCAGGGGACCCAGGTCTTGTGTGTCCCAGCAGGGTTTCAGAAATGTCAGACAAAGGTGGGGAAAATAGAGATGGACACAGCTCTTAAGTGATAGATGGCCAGGTTTTCCCAGTCCTTTATCAGTGGCCTCTACGTAGCACCTCCCAGTGATTGCCCGGATGACGATATGGGAGTGCCTTTCTGTCTTCTCACCCAGGCGAGGCACGTGACTGCAGGAATCCACACTCAACCACCCAAGTAGGCCTTGGGATTCCTCAGAACAGCTGGTTTGAGGGATTTATTTGCTTTATCTTTGTGTGGGATTCAAAAAAAATTGAAATATAGTTGATATACAATTTTATATTGGTTTCAGGTGTACAACCTAGTGATTTGACAGTTTTATACATTATTAAATGCTCACCACGATAAGTGTAGTTACCCTCTGTCAACATACAAAGATGTTACTATATTCCCTATGCTGCCCTTTCATCCCTATGACTAATTGATTTTATAATTGGAAGTTTGTACCTCTTTATACCCTTCATCTATTTCACCCATCACCCCATCCCCCTCTCTGGTGGCAACCACCAGTCTGTTCTCTGTATTTGTTTTTTTATTTTTACCTTTTAACTTTAAATTTAATAAATAAAATGTACAAATCTTAGTGTACAGTTTGACAAATTTTGACATATGCATATACTCATATAACCATTGCCCAGGTCAAGATATCATACATTCTCACTAATGTTTTCCCCTTTACCTATTTCATCTATCTCCCACCCCCTCCCCTAGGACAACCACCAGTCTGTTCTCTGCATTTCT